TACTTAGTTTTTAGCTAGCCTGTTGGTACTTTAGGATTTTGTTATTTTTGTGACTTAATTTAAGCTGAAGCTTACCCTTTGCTAATTTCATCTTTTAGCTAAAGTTTAGCTCTRTTTAGCTTAACCTCTGCTGCTTTAGCTTGCGTTGCTACTTTAATTTTGAGCTAGCTACTTAGTTTTTAGCTAGCCTGTTGGTACTTTAGGAATTTCGCCATCATTTGTTTGATTTTAACTTAAAGCTAACTTTTTGCTACTTTTATCTTGAAGTTAAGTTTTTATTTATTTGAACTATTTTCAGACATTTGCTACTTTTAGCTAAGTTTTAGGGATTTTAGCTAGCCTATTGGTTTAGGAATTTAGCCGTCATTTGTTAATATTAATATGAAGCTAACCCTTTGCTACTTTRAGCTTRATGGTACTGTTTTGCTAAATTTAGCTTTAAGGRTCTTTTTTGTTATTTTTGCAACTTATTGAAGCTGAAGCTAACTCTGCTACTTTCATCTTTTAGCTAAAATTTAGCTCTCTTTAGCTAAAACCCTGCTGCTTTAGCTAATGTGTTGCTACTTTAGTTTTTAGCTAGCCTATTGGTACTTTAGGAATTTAGCCATCATTTGTTTAATTTTAACTTAAAGCTAATTTTTAGCTACTTTTGTATTTAGCTAGCCTATTGGTACTTCAGGAATTTAGCCATCATTTGTTTAGTTTTAACTTAAAGCTAATTTTTAGCTACTTTTGTATTTAACTTTTTAAAATTTTTAGCTTTTTTCAGACTTTTGGTACTTTTAGCTAAGTTTTGGTGATTTAGCTAGCTTAATGCTACTTTAGAAATTTAGCCGTCTTAGCCYTTTATTTTAATATGAAGCTAATCCTTTGCTATTTTTAGCTTTAAGCTGCTTTTCTGTCAGCTTTATGTTACATTTCTCTAGTGTTTCATTGTCTTTAGCAGCAATCTTTCAGCTTCCTCGGCTGATTTCAGCAGATATTTAATGCTCTAGTTTCAGCTATTTTTAAATAATGTTTTTATGTTTCATTTGATGTAAATGAAAATGCAATTTCTGCTTTATAAAATAAGACATTCATCAAAGTTAGAAGTATTTCCTGTCCTAAAACACTTGCCCCAGAATTAAAGCCGAACCGTATTTAGGTGTTTTTTTGATTAACCTCATTCGGGTTCTCGGGGTCTGACTCGTGGATCCCGTCGGGCCTCCTCGTTCTCCGGTGAAGGCAGCTCAGATTTTTGTAAACGCCTCCACACTGCTCTGCCTGTCAGACAGTCTGTGCCACACCAAAACTGAACCGCACACACCGGAACACACGACATAAACGAGCTAAAAATACCTCGGAGCGACGCCTCGACGAGGTCGCCGCGTTTACTGGAAACCAAGGCGCTTTTGATGGGATGACCGGAGAAAACAGCCGAAGTTTAACAACAAAGTTTTATTAGAACACACGTGGTGGGAATTCATCTTCAAGTCAAAACACAAACAGTGAAATGGAGCTCTAAAGCAGGTATTTGGATCCTTGGTCCAACAGCCCCCCTCCCAGCTGGATCTGGTCTCCTCAAGCCTCTGGCCCCCGACCATCTTTGTCTGGCTGGTATGTGCTGGTCCGTGATCCCGTGACCTGTTCCAGGTCTAAATATAAACACCCCTCAACACCGAGGTGACATTACGTAATCCTGATCAACACATTCTCAGCGAGGCAGGGTTCGGGACGAGCTCCAGGACGTCCTGGGTGACTCTGAGAACCCATCAGGGATGGTTGGAAGACGAGCAGAAGCAGAACACCGAATCATCTTCCAGTTATGATCTCACATTTGCCTTAACTTTCAGCAGAAATGGGCAATGGAATAAATAAGGTAGGGCGTTGTATCGTTTTTAAAACCTTAAAACCATCATTTCCTAATTTCTTTTTCATTTCCCTTCAGGTTTTACCAAATCTGTATCTGGGTAACTTTAAAGGTAAGTTCCTGTCATCATGTGAATTGATTTATTTTCAGGATAAAGTAGTAGAGTGTGTTTCAGTTCCTCATCGGAGGAGTGTGTGGTGAACTGCTACACTGAGCTCAGTTTCTATAGAGAGGTCAGAGCGTAATGCTGAACTACTCGACTTACTTTGATCAGAAAAAAAAAGACTTTTTATCTTGTCTTGTGCATATCGCTCTCCGTCAGCAGCTGGGGGAAACATGACTCTTCAAGGCTGTTGTGAATGCACGAGCGTGGGTGTGGGAGGGGATGCCCCACGCTGCGGGGGTGTCCCTGCATGAGAACTACATTCCACGTTTCCACCAAGCAGCAGCGATCGTGAGGCTGCTTTTTGTTCAAAAGAAATACACGCTRACAATCGTGACCGCAGATTTAAAGTCATAAAAATATGGAAGGCTTTTTGTAAACGCGCCTGGAAACTGCTGTCGTACAGGAAACGTGATGCACTCTGTGTTCATTAATTCTTCTTTTCATCTTCATCGCTTGACATTATTATACACGTCTCAACCTTTCTTTTTAGTGAAAAACAAAGTGAGTTACAGTAATTACAGACAGAGCCAAATCTCATGGTTAACAGATTATTAATGGGCACAAGATGATTTATCACCTACTAGAGGTGTACCAATACATCAACCCACAACAATACATTGATCAACAATGATACATTGATCCACAACAATACATCAACCCACAACGAAACATTGACCCACGATACATCAACCCACAGTGATACATTGATCCACAACGAAACATTAGCCCACAACAATACAATAGCCCACAATGATACTGTACATCGACCTACAATGATACATCGACCCACAACAATACATCGACCCATGATACATTGACCAACAACGATATATCGACCCATGATATATCGATCCAAAGCGATAAATTGATCCACAACTATACTTCGACTCACAAAGATACGTTGACCTACCGCGAAACATTGGCCCACAAAAATACATAGACCTACAGTGATACATTGATCCATGATACATTGACACACAACGATACATTGACCCACAACGATACATTGACCCACAACGATATATCAACCCAAAACGATACATTGACCTGATACTTTGATCCACAAAGATATATTGACACACAACGATACATTGACCCACAACAATATATTGACCCACAACGATACATCGACCCATGATACATTGACCAACAACGATATATCGACCCATGATCCAAAGCGATAAATTGATCCACAACYATACTTCGACCTACAAAGATACGTTGACCTACCGCGAAACATTGGCCCACAAAAATACATAGARCTACAGCGATACATTGATCCATGATACATTGACTCACAACGATACATTGACCCACAACGATACATCAACCCAAAACGATACATCAACCCAAAACGATACATTGACCTGATACTTTGATCCACAAAGATACATTGACACACAACGATACACTGACTCACGATACATTGACCCACAACAATATATTGACCCACAACGATACATCGACCCACAGTGATACACTGACCCACAACGATACATCGACCCACAGTGATACACTGACCCACAACGATACATCGACCCACAGTGATACACTGACCCACAACGATACATTGGCCCAGAATGATACAATAGCCCACAATGAAACTGTACATCGACCCACAATGATACATCGATCTACAATGATGGTAAATGGTAAATGGTACTGAACTTATAGAGRGCTTTTCAAGTCCCTCCGGACCCCAAAGCGCTTTACACTAACATTCACCCATTCACACTCACATTCACACACTGATGAAGGCAAACTACACTGTAGCCATAGCTGCCCTGGGGCACACTGACAGAAGCGAGGCTGCCATGCACCGGCYCCACCGGACCCTCTGACCACCATCAGTAGGCAAGGTGGGTGAAGTGTCTTGCCCAAGGGCACAACGACTGAGACGGCTGGACGGGGGATCGAACCAGTGACCTTCCGGTTCCAGGACGACTCCCCTAACCACTCCGCCACAGCCGCCCACAACACATCGACCCACAACAATACATCGACCCATGACACATTGACCAACAACGATATATCGACCCATGATTTATCGATCCAAAGCGATAAATTGATCCACAACAATACTTCGACCCACAAAGATACGTTGACCTACCGCGAAACATTGACCCACTAAGATACATAGACCTACAGCGATACATTGATCCATGATACATTGACCCACAAAGATACATTGACCCACAATGATACATCAACCCAAAACGAAACATTGACCTGATACATTGATCCACAATGATACAATGACACACAACGATACATTGACCACAACAATATATTGACCCACAACGATACATCAACCCAAAACGATACATTGACCTGATACATTGATCCACAACGATTAGAAATACTATATTTGCACTTAGTCTCTTCAAACATTGGTCCAACTATAGGTACAAGGAGCTGTAGTCAGATAGTCTTAACTCATGGTGCTCACTTTATCTTTAAATTATGTTAAGATTAAACTTAAAATACAAGTAACTTCAAGAGACATTTATTTATATTAGATTTAAGTCCATATCTAGATTTGCACATCTTGTAAGACCACATATACTCAAATTTTAAACTATGAAAAGTCCCATGAGCCTTTGCTGCCCGAGCAAACATTGAATTTTCTCCATGTCCATTGGCTGAAAAAAACAAACAAGAAAATGTGGGCAACCGCACTGGCTGCTAGCTTAATCATAAAAAATACAACTTTACTTGAAGTTTTTGCATTTCGTGCATTATATTATTGCATTTGGCCCACCACCCTCATATTGATTTTAATTTTGGTCCTTTCAGGGAAAATGGTTTTTAAACTTGGCCCTGTTAGGGAAAATGTTTGGGCACCCCTGATTCAGACACAGTGACAAAAAAACAACTACCGGTAACTCGCAATCTTTGCAGCACTACTAAGCTAGTTTTGTTAGCTTGATAGCTAGCTGTGTTTGCATCATCAACACAACAAAACAAGTTATCACAGATTTTTGACTTTTAAATTAAACTCTGTCTTCTCGAACAATGTCCAGAAAACAAACATTTAGTCTGTTTATTTTAAGTGAAGAATACACAAGCTGCTCATAATCGACTTGTTTTAAAACAAGCTAACAATCATAGCAACTCTAACCCGGGAGAAGCCATTTTAGATCTTCCAGTTTTTGTCAATATACAGCAGTATCAGGTGAATCCAAATAATAAATAATCTCTTTAAAGTTGTTGCTGCTGCTCATTTTAAATTCTTGTTTTTTACAGCTTCAGAGTGAAATGTAAAAATTAGCCTGCAGCGGCTCATTGCAGGTTCCTCTTGGCCTTGGATCTGTGGCATCAACAGCTTTCTGCAAAACTTGCAAAGCACGATGAAAAAAAAAAAAGTAGCTCAAAGCACATCTGTCCAAGGTAGAAAAACATTTGGCTTCCTTTTGAAGAACAAAATTTGATTAAAACAATTACAGTTTCTTGCTTTTGGGCCAAGCTGTTGGCCTGTTTTAGAAACATTGGTTTTCCGGTTTTTCTTTCAGTTCAAAACAAGAGCAAAACTTTGAGGCCATGAAGCCATATTTGCTTGGTAGGCACTTTGGGAGGGGGCGGGGGGGTTGTCGTCGGGCAGAAAAGACTTTATTTAGCCAGGGGGCTCGAACAGAGGGATTTGTGATTGGTTTGCCTTAAATTTCTCCATTTTTCTCTTGCGACCTGCAGATGCTCGAGACGCGGAGCTGCTGGCCCGGCACCACATCACCCACATCCTCTCCATCCACGACACGGCTGCGCCCGTCCTGGAGGTGAGGCGCCATCTTGCACCGGCCTCCTCGACCCCTTGACCCCCCCAACGGCCATCAACCTGTAAAAAAAACACGACGTTCTTTTGAACTCAGGGGTCGTTTCCCCTCAGCACTCATACTGAAACCTCACAGGAGCCACCACCTCTCAGAGTTAATGACACTTTTTATTTTAATCTCTTATAGAGTCATGAAAATATCAGATTTTTCAGCCTCTCAGGAACAATTTTCCTATTTTTAGTCATTAAATCAAGTCATGTGATGTGAATCTTCAATATTCCTGTCATCAAAGTCAGACTGCAATCAAACAGACCACTTCAATCAGCCTGAAAGTTCATATTTTCATTTTTATCTCAAGTCATAAGACTTGGAATTCACCTTTTAACTAAACTCGCGGCGCCAAAGCTGCAATATCAGGTGGGATTTCAGTCGATGTTTGTGCCGTTTTCAGTCGTCGCAGCTGCKGACGCTTCGCTTTCCTCACGAGATGCTTTCTTCTATCTGCAGCTTGGACTCCGTGAGGTCTTGAAAGTGGAACCGCTGCTTTTCGACGTGAAGCTATGAAAGTAAAGGAGAACGTGCTTTTTTCTTACGGATGATGAGACCTCGAGCTGATTTTGAACCTTCCCTGCTGAAATATTCCTCCTCGACTTTGAAAACCTCTGTCGGCTTTCGCAGCTTTCATCTTTTCTTGTAGAAAGCGGTCATGAAAACGACTTTTCTGCAAACTTTCTCCAGAATGTTTCATTGAACGGCGAAGAGAAACAGCAACCCGTATTACATGGTATCACTACCCAAACTGGTCAACCACAAAAACTTTTTGCAGGGTTCAGGATTTGAAATGACGCCTCGGCTGCTCTCTGAGCCACAGCTCGGCTTTTTGTTGATCCCAACGATTAGAATCTTAATCTGAACATTGGGTTTGTCTGATTTTTCTGAGGTTTGTGGCTGCCCGAGTGGCCAGATGGGACGCTTTATTTGCATACCCAACAGTCAAACTGCTGAGTCACTGATTTCTTGGAAGACAGGTGGACGGCTCCTGAGAGGGGAACGTAAAATTTGCAACCATCAAGTCTCTGAGGTCAGAATGTGGCTTTAATCTACATACTGCAAAAATAAAGACCTGCATCTGATTTCATGGAGGAAAATCTGAGGAAGATTCATTTTTTCAGCAGAAGAAACAACTTTATTTTTATCGGAAACCCAGAAATCTGAAGATGAAACTGAGCAGCTAAAGCTAACGTCAATGGAACATGAGCTAAAAGCTAAAAATGTAGAAAAGGGTAGCTAGACATTTAAAGTTGAAAAATTCTAGCTAGAAGCAGAAAAATGTGTCTATAAATAGTCAAAGAGTAGCAAGAGGCTAGCTCAAAGCACAAACAGTAGCTAACACCCAAAAAGCATGCTTAAAGCTAAAGTAGCAAAAGAGGAATTAACACCCAAAATACATGTTAAAACTAAAGTAGTAAAAGGCTGGCTAAAATGTAAATTAGCAAAAATGAAAAAGCCACAGAACTAAAATGTTGGCTAAAAGAAACACAAGCCTAGCTAGAAGCTAAAAGTAACAAAAGGTTAAATGATAGGTAAAGAAATAAAAGGTGAGCTATTAGCAACACAAGGCTGGATGAAGTCTAAACCAAACAGTTCAGTACCTAAACGCTAAAACTTGCTAAATGCTAGCTAAAAATTAAAGTAGTAAAAAGCGAGCCAGAAGCTAAAAGTAACAAAAGGATTGTTGAAGGGTAAAAAAGCAAAAGGTCAGCTAGAAGTAACACATTCTAGTTTCAAAACTAAAATAGCGAAAGGGTAACTAAAAGCTATAAGTAGCTAAAGGGCAACAAAACAATAGAAACAAAAGATTGCGAAAGGCTGGCTAAATGATAAGGTAGAAGGCTAGTTAAAAGCTAATGTTGCAAAAGGTTAGCTGAAAGCTAGCAGTAGTGAAAGGCTAGCTAGAAGCTATAAAATTAACAAAAGTTTGGTTGAAAGGTWAAAGAAGCAAAAGGCTAGCTAGAAGCAACACAAGGCTAGTTCAAAACTAAAGTAACAAAAGGGTAACTAAAAGCTGAAAGTAGCTAAAGACTAACTAAAGTAACAAAAGACTAATCAACGACAAGTTAGAAGCCAAAAATTGTGAAAGGCTGGCTAGATGATAAAAGCAGCAAAAGACCAACTAAAAGCAAAAAGTTTTWAAAAAAAAGTTAGTTGAAGGGTAAAAGAAACAAAAGCTCAAAGCTTAAGGAGCAAAGAAGTAACTAAAAGCTAAAACAAGCTAACTAGAGTAGGAAGACTAGCTAGCAGCTAAAAGTAATTAAACATTGGTTGAAGGGTAAAAGGAGCAAAAGGTCAGCTAAAAGAAGTAAAAGACTAATAACTCAGAGCTAAAGTAGCGAAAGGGTAACTGAACCAAAGCTGAACCAAAGTAACTAAAGGCTAGCCAAAGATTGTGAGATAAACGTGTCTAAAATGTAAGAGAAGCAAAATGCTAGCWAAAATGAGCAAAAGCCTGGCTAATTGACATCAGTAGCCAAAYGTTAGATAAAAGCTAAAAGTAGCAGAAGTATAGCTCGTGTGCTGCAGCAGATTTTCAGGATTTCAGCGTTTGATTTTACTCTGAAGAGGCGGTTTCTCTCAGCCGACAGTCAAGAGTTTGTTACGTATTTTTAAAGAAGTGGTTATGAAAAGCGTCTGGAGCGTTCCCAGAGTTTAGCCTGTCCCCGAGGACTCGGGGGGTTTTGCTCTCGTGCAGTCATACCGGGCTCAGGCGGTTTCTGTCCAGTTCGTGCACCATCAGCTGCCAGGTGCACAGAACACACACACACACAGAGACACACACAGACACAGACACAGACACACACACACACACACACACACACACA